GATGTAAGTATGGGTCAGAAATACATACATATGCTGGTAAAAGCATTTGGCATGTTCATTGAACTCAGCAACATGAATATTTTCTAAGTCATCTAGGCTTTTTACAAATTGATACTACTTCACATTCTGAAATATTTGTCTAATAACTATTTAAGCAGCTTCCTTTGATCTGTCATTTACAAATTAATTGTTTTGTTCAAACAACTTGACAGTAGAGTTTATTGTCTTCTTTGTGTTTGCAATAAACTGAAATGTTAGAAGCTGTTACCTATTTTATTTTGAAGATTATCAAATCATTGGCATTGGTTTGTGAAGTTTTAGTAGAAAATAACTTTTTAATGATGTACATCATCAGCATCCTGCTAACCCAATCTCTTCTGAAATAAATGCCTTTGAAATAACCTATATAAATTGTAGATGTAGCATCTTATTATTCAGATATTCCCCCAAGAGGATAATGGCACAACTTTTTAAAGTATCCAAATGTAAAATTGCAATTGCATCTCTAGTAAAGTTGAGCATCTTTGGAATGGTATGCATATCTCCAGGTGGAGATTAAAGGAGCAAAAGTGCTAAGAAGTTCTGTGGGAGGAGATAGGCTAATTCTGATTTCTCAAATGGTATGGGTAACAGAGTGGCAGAATCTCTCTTCTAGAATAGCTGTTTTCAAATTCTTTCCAAGAGACCTAGAATCTCGAAGGATTGACCTTTGAGTCACTTGCTCCTACCACATATCTTTGTGGGAAATCCTTTCAGAAGGCAATGTAGAACTGATAATCTTCATGAATAAGCTTACTAGGTACCCCACCCCTGCTACCCAATCACTGGCAATTCTTACATCTTATCCTAGATTCTGAATGCTCACCAGTGAGTCCACATTGGCATGGCCATTCTCATCTAGAAGCCAAGGATTTCATCCAGAACTTTCAAGTGTCAAGCACCCTCCACCCCCATTCCCACCAGCACAGGAAATACTTATTATCAGATTACTGGAGATTATGTGCTTAATATATTTGAATTCTGGATTCTCTTATTAGTTATGAGAGTATCTAGTTGAACAAGGGTGTTTGCAAATTTTGTCAGTTCTACTCTTAAAATCTTTCAGTACACTGACCTGTATGAATTTTAGTATAAATGCCACGTCCCCATGATTCATTGCCTATGAACTGGACACTTTTATTCTGAAACAGAAGATGTTCACTAAACCAGTATATTAAAGATGTATTCCATGATATACAAATCTTCAGAGATACTCAGTGGAAAGAAGGTTTCTGGGATCAAACATATTTGGGAAAAAAATGTGTCTCTTTTGGTGATACAAAAATGTGCATTAAAGGGCAAAGTTGCTAAGAAGTATTTCCTGAGCTTATTTGATCATATAGAGAGTCCTTTCTACTTCCTCTCTTCCTCTCTCCCTTCCTCTCTTCCTTACTTTCTTTTTAGTAACATTGATTATCTAAGGTTTTATGAAAAATATTTTGGAAAACACTGCAGTTGTCTGTTTTCAAAAAAACAGGTGGGGTATTATTTTTACATTAGTCTATAATTCCAGATTCAGCACAGAGTCTTGTTGTTGTTGTTATGTGCCGTCGAGTCATACCTGACTCATAGCGACCCCTCCTTGGGTTTCCGAGGCAGTATCACTACGGATGTAGGATTGCCCAACCTTCCTTCCGAGGAGTGGCTGGTGGGTTTGAACTGCCAGCCGTCTGGTTAGCAGGCAAGTGTCTTAGCCACTGTGCTACCAGAGCTCCCAGCACAGAGTCTGGCATGAGGCAAATACTCAAATGTTTGTTAAATTCAAGTGAACACAGAATATATTAATAAGATACCAGAACATTGTATTGAAAGTTATTTTCAATCGTACCAGTTATTTGGTACCAAGTATTTGAAAGTCTTACAGAAAGAAATTATTTGAACATTGAATTCAATTAATCCATTTTGGGCATATGGATCAGAATCACAACATGTCAGATTTGGGACAAGGCCTGACAGACATCTAGTCAGCATCTTATAGACAAAGTACAGACACAGATAAGGCATTATCTTTCATACTAAATTTCTAAAGAAGTTGAAAGTATTATTCTCAAGTAATTTAAATGTAGCAATAGAGATTGTGAGCTCTAGGTTCAAATCAAATAGGTTCAAACCCTGACTCTGTGGTTTGCTGGCTGAGGGAAGATAGGCAATGTTTCTCAGCTCATCTTCCTCATCTGTAAAATAGTGATGGTAACAGTCCTCACTCCACAGGAGCAATGTGATGACTAAATGAGATTAACAGCTAAGGACAGTGTTTGGCACATGGGAAGAATCTTATATACTAATACAAGCATACCTTGTTTTACTGCACTTCTCTGTACTGCACTTTAAAGATACTGCGTTTTTTATACATCAAATGTTTGTGGCAATCCTGTGTGGAGTAAATCTATCAGCACCATTTTTTCCAACAACTCACTTTGTGTCTCTCTCTACGCCATATTTTGGAATTATCACAATATTTCAAACTTTTTCATTAAAAAAAATACTACTACATACTAAACAGGCTACAGTATAGTATAAACATAACTTCTATATGAACTGGGAAAACAAAAAGTTCATGTTACTTGCTGTGATAGTTGGAGCTATGTGTCAACTTGGCTGGACCACAATTTTCTGTGTGGTTTAAGCAACTGTGATGTGGGTTGTTGTAATGATGGGATCAGATGTATATGTTTTGAGTAACCAATCCATTGAAAGGGAGTTTCCCTGGGGTGTGGCCTGCTTCCAGTATATTTATGGACCTCCTGGGAAAAGACACATGCTTCTGTGGATTGGGATTCTGACTACAACTGTATGTGAGGCAACAATCCACCATTCGGCCTGAAGATCTTGGATTCATCATTCATTGGAGTCAACAGCCAGTATACTGCCTGCCAACCTTGAACTCCTCAGCCCCTGAAGCTGCATGAGTTGGGAAAAGCCTCCAGCTTGATGTTTGATCCAAGAACTTGGGCCTTGCCAGCTTCTATAAGAGTGTGAGCCATTTTCCTAAGATAAAAGCATAAGGATGGGCTTCCTAAATTGGTTCTCCAATTTGATTAATTGTAAAGGCACTGATGACCCTGCCTCCATTAGTTAAGAGGGCCGTGGCGTGAGGTGGCAACATTAATATGCAGAATAGCACCACCAATAGAGCAAGTACTTTTGAGAAGTGAGGCTCTGGGTGATCGCATGTTTGGTACTTTTCTGCAATTTTGTCAGCATGAGGAGTATAAGGAAGCTGGTTGGTTGGTCCTACTTACACTAGACAAAGTGGTGAAAGAGCAAGATGAGCTCAGGGCTACTGAGTTACAGCTTAAGCCTGCATAAAAGACCTCAATGTTTCCAGTTGTGCTCTGAAAGAAAGTCTTATTTCTTCTAGTAACAGAGCTGATACTGCCAAAAACCAAACCCAGAGTCTTATTGTAAGGGTGGCTGAATTATAATGCCAATTAAATTACAGCAACCCAATTCTGATATGACTGCTAATGGCCCAGACCCTTCAGGAATAAAGGTTTGGGTCAGACCACCAGGCAAAGAATCACGACCAGCTGAGGGCAGGGGAAATACAGAATGGGTGGTGGAAGAATGTAGTTCTGAAAATCAGCTACAACCACATGACCAGTTGCAGAAACGAGGACCATGATTGTTATATTTCTTCATTGTACATGTGCATCAAATATTTTTGTTTCCTTTTGTTATGAACTGTGAAATGTAAATAAGGTTAATGCGTTTTGGTTGTAAGTATGTTAGAGTATCATGTTAGGTCCAAATATGACTTTAATTGTCTTTATTTAGAGATTATATATGGTTAAGAAGATGCCAAGTTGACAAGGGGTGGACTGTGATAGTTGACGCTGTGTGTCAACTTGGCTGGACCACAATTCTGTGCGGTTTAAGCAATTGTGATGTGGATTGTTCCACTGATGGGAACAGATGTATATGTTTTGAGCAGCCAAACCATTGAAAGAGAGTTTCCCTAGGGGTGTGGCCTGATTCCAGTATATTTATGGACATCCGAGGAAAAGAGGCACTCTTCTGTAGACTGAGATTTTGCATACAACTGTCTGTGAGGAAACAACCCACCATTTGGCCTGAAGATCTTGGATTCATCATTTGTTGGAGTCAACAGCCAGTATACTGCCTGCCAACATTGAGCTCCTCAGCCCCTGCAGCTGCGTGAGTCGGGGAAAGCCTCCAGCTTGACATTTGATCCAAGAACTTGGGACTTGCCACCTTCTATAAGTGTGTGAGCCATTTTCTTAAGATAAATTTCTCTTTCTCTTTCTATCTATAAGTTTTACTGGTTTTGTTTCTCTAGAGAACTCAGTCTAACACACTTGCTTCATTGTGATATTTGCTTAGTTGTGGAATAGAATCAAACTCACAATATCTCTGAGGTATGCTTGTATCATTAAACACATCAGCCAGGATTACAACAAAAAAAACCCACTGCTATCAAGCCTATTCTGACTCATAGCAACCCCTACTGGGTTTCCAAGGTGGTAAATCTTCTTGGAAGTAGATTGCCCCATCTTCCTGCCATGGAGTGGCTGGTGGATATGAACCACCAACAGTCTGGTTAGCAGTCAAATGCCTTAGGCACTACACTACCAGAATTCTTTCAGGATTATACAGTCAATATGAAATTAGAGATGTCACATTCTATAGAACACTTGGAAGACCTTGGGATGGAAATGTATATGGGGAACAAGGAATTATGTAATTGAAGTCTCCATATTGACAGCCTCTAATACTGGGCCATTCATAGCTTTGTTTTGTTTTGAAAATGAACCATTCTAGTTTGAAGGTACAACTGGATTGGGGTGGTGAGTAGGCTCTTGTTTCAACATTTTATAAACTGAGGCAGAATCCTTTCTGTTTACCCAAGAGTCCTTGGGATACTGCATATTTAGAGATGTCACAGAAGGAAGAAAGTCCCCTCTCTGTGAGGTAGACAAAAGCAAGGCACCATTTCCTACCTGAATGGGTAGGCAAATGCTACGTCAATGCTGAGGTTACTTTCTGTCTTGTTGACGCAGTCCACACTCAGCCGCAGGCCTCCAGTATAGCCACCGCATGTTGCAAATGCAAAGATGGCAAAAAGCTGTGGAGAACAAAGGAAGAAAAAGGCAACTATTAGGATGATGTTGACTTCATCAGGTAAATCAATAGGAGCTTAGTGTCTAGACTGAAGGAACACCATGCTTGCTCCAGGCTGGCAAGGCCAGAGTGATGATGAGGTGGGGGAATGGTGTCTGAATGAAGAGTGTGACAAGCTAGGGTAATTTTGCTTGGAGAAAAATTAAAGGCAAGGCCAAAATAACTGTGTTTGAGTACGTAACAATGTGTCATGCCTTAGAGAAATATAGACGTGATACATCATAGTCAAAGGGTCTGGAAGACCATGTACCAAGGGCTTACAAGTGGGTATCTTCAGGTGGAAAGAATTTGGGGGGCTCTCCTTGCTTTCTTCTTTTTGTTTGTGTGTATTTTCTGCAATGAACATGTCCTGTCTCTAGAATAATACGACAGATTTATTTTCAAACATAGTCTGAGAATTCTAGAGCTAAAAAGGTGAGCAAAAGTAGGTGGGTAGCTAAGAGATGCTATTGCAGAGCTTAAAATCTCAGGGTATTTCAGCTTCAAACTTCCATTGGTTGATACATCTTTGTATTGGTTGCTAGGTCTAAGCCAACTCTTAAAAGATTCAACTGGTTTCCAGTTACTGTCATAGTCTATCCTAGAGCAGAACATGGAGCTGTGGGGAACCTGGCACTGAAAGTTACAAACAAAAATTCAGAGAAGTCTTTGAGAAGGGAGAGAAGCCTAGGAATGGGAGGATGGCCTGCGATGGGAAGTTAACAAATGCCAAACTTTGCTTATTCATAGGTTGGCTAAATTCAAAAGAATTTTCTGTGCATTCCCAAAGTTATCAATCAAGTGCATTTAACACTATTAATACCTGCTATAGTATTTTGATTGATTTCATTTTCATTTTGGGAGTCAGCTTCTTGCAGTATCTTAGGATGTCTATAAGGAGCACTATTTCATTTTGCATAGTGAGAGAAGTTACTGTGTCAGGATCACGTGCATGAGCTCTGGATGACCTTGAAAAGTTACTTAATTTCTCCAGGCCTTGGTTTCCTCATCAGTAAAATGGCGTTGATAGTGACTCATCTGGGTTGTTTTGCTCTTTGTGATATGAGACAGGTAGTTGCTGTAGTTGTCGTCAAGGTAGTACATGTAAAAGTAGGGAGTGGTTGTCCACTGTGGCCATTTTCAGTGCCAATTATGGGCCAGGTATTGGGACCAGTACTAAACATCTGTGATTGTATTTTCTCTCAGCAACAATATTGTGACATGTCTGTGTATGTTTATGTGAAGCTTAATATTCCTATATTAAAGATACTGCAGAATTGCATTGTTGTTGTTACTAGCTGCCACTATGTAACCCCCACCCTGGGGCTCATGTTAAGCCCAGAAACAACAGAATGAAATGCTGACCAGTCCTGTACCATCTACACGATCAGTTGCATAGGACCCACTGGCTGGTTCCAAGTGGGTGATTTTTGGCAGTAAATGGCCAGGCCTTTCTTACTACTCCATCAAAGTCTGAAAGCTCTGCTGAAACCTGCTTTGCATCATAGCAACATACAAGCCTCCAATGACAGATGGGTGTGGCTGCACATGAGGTACACAGGATAGTGGCTTCCAACAGTTGTATTAAAAACATATTACTTGGGATCTTAAAATGTAGCAAGTAAGAATTCAAAGGCATAAAAACAAATCTTGTTAATTTCAAGGTTTAATAGCTATTTAAAAAACTATGCTTGGCTTTTTATCTTATATAAAACTGCTTTGCAAACAGTAAGTTATTATTAATACTACCATGTAATGAACTTAAGATGAAACAATCATTATGTATTTAAATAGTTCAAAATGTTAGCTGCATGGAAAGAAAGCATGAGACTATTAAAACCACCTGTGCCATTATTATTATTATTATTATTATTATTATTATTATTATTAGCCTCTATTGGTGCTCTGAAAACACAAGACATTGTACTAGAGTTAAATATGATGTCTATGGGTTTTCTGGTTAAGTTCCTCCCATCCCCCACAGTCCTCACTGATTAAGGGGAAATCATACTGTGTGACTGATATCAAACTCACATGGCTTTGATGAGGATTAAACAGATAATGTCTGTGTAATATTGAAACAAGTAGATCCTGTTGAGTGAATAGCTTATCACAGGGATGTATGATTCTAGAGTTGGGGGCAGTGAATTCAGCTTCTCTAGGGGATATCAGTCAGGGCCTGGTTCTGTAATTAGAATACACCAAGACACAGCAGAAAGGGCACTGGAGGATCTCGGGTGGGTCCATGGATGGGGCGAGATTCTCTTTGTGTAACAGAGAAATGTAGCATGGGAAAAAACTAGAAATTCTCCCACTTGTTCCCCTCCCAGATTGCCACCAAAGTTTTCCACCATAGGTGGTAGCAAACATCAGCATGGAGTCAGGTAGTCCTGAGTTTGAGTCCAGTTCCTAGTTACATGACCCTGGACAAGTTACTTGACTTCTCTAAACCTTAGCTCCTACATCTACTAAATCAGGAATCATTCACTGGTTCATTCAACAGATGTTTAATTATGCATCTCCTTTGTCCCAGCTGTTGGTGAGAGGAAGGTAAAAAAGTCAGAAATAAGGCAAAAGCTTAATGCCAAATGGGGCAACAGAACCAAAGAGAGTATACATATAAGATAACTTCAAAGTGTGCTAATGTTCTCAGGGAAGTTATTATCTACAGGAAATTTTGCATGAGGATGTCAAATTGAAGCTAAGACCTTAAGGATGAATGAGAAGAAGCCACATAGATGGTGAGGAAAGAGGGAACTGCTTACACAAAAGTCTGAGACAGGAAAACTTTGACAAGTTCAAGGAGCCAATGGAAGACTAATGCTGTTGAATTTCAGGAAGAAATAATTCTCAACCACAAGGCAGGAAGGAGTTGACTATCAAATGATCCAGTTGGCTTTTCTAGAAACACATCATTGGTGTTTTCATGGCCTGAGGCTCTCTAGGTTTCTCCAGAGTATCTCATAGACATACCCTGCCAAGCTCGCCAGCAGGACAGGGTAGGAACTTTCTCCTATCTTTTTCCTTCTTTTTTCCCTCTTCTTGCCTTTGATGGGGTAGAAAATCTAAGGTATGACAGTATAAGAAGACAGAGCCTTCTTTAGCTTGACAGTCATGGCTCTGAGAGGCCACTAATATTAGTGAAACCGAGTAAAGTGTTCCCCAAGAATGTAGAACAGTATCTATTCTATGGGGGAATTGAAACCAAGTAAAGTAAAAACTATTTCCCCTACCCTGGCACCCCAATGAGAATAGATAAGTAAATTAAATTACCCCCAACTATTTTCCCACCCCGACAGATGAATATTCAGCTCCTTAAAGAACTGAATGGAAAACATTCCTTCCTGCAGATGATAGGCTGCTAAAAGTGTCTTAGAAACAACTTGCAAATGCAGTAGGGCAGAAGGGTATCTTAGAAACAACTTGTAAATTAACTCTGGACATGCAGCAATAGGACAAAAGGAACAAAAGTTAATTGTGGGCCCTGTCCAAGCCCCTATCAGCTGATAACAGGAAACTAGTGACTCATCTGCTATCAACACCCATTTTACATTCACACCCCGAATTCCTCAACCTTTTGTGAATATGCACAACCCTTTCTCCTGATGCCTACAAAAACTGTGTTTCATGGTATCTAGGGGGGGTGGTTAGATCTGGTTACTAAACTACCCCCTTACTCCTTGCATTGAGGCTTTGCAATAAAAAATTTTCTCTCCTCTCAATCTTGGTGTGTAAACTGTTTTGGCACCGGGCAGGGACCCACGTTTGATCCAATAACAATTTCACACTCCAGGTGACCGAAGGTCTCTGGCCCTCTGCCCAGAGCATGAGAACCCTCAGACAGTGGAAGTGGAATGGACTCCTGATGGACCTTGTGTGCACTCAGACACTGCTTTGTCTGAAGGTATCTGAGGGGTGCTGCGTCTGTGACCATCTGCAGCGTCCTCAGCCTCTAGGTGCTTTAGAGAGAATAGAGAATTATTCTGGGTTTAAAGGTGACTATTGGTGAGTATAGATTAAATTCTGGTCTGGATTCTAGTTGTTTGGGAAGTTGAAATTTAAAAGCCTAATTAAGATACCTCCACAACTAAAGCTCTCTTAAGCATCTATACTCTGGTCTGGTTTGGCTTCTAGCTCATAGGAAGGTTGAAATTTTGGTTGGTAACCTTAATAAGACACCTTCATGGCTGAAGCACTCTTAAGCTAGTTTTAGGCTTATACGGAGGTTGAAATTTTGGTCCTTTAGGGTAACCTGAAATTAAGATCACCTCCGTAGCTAAAGCATCATCGTTCTGATCAGATCTGGTTTTGGTTTGGTTTGAGTGTGGTTTACTGTAGCTCACGTGTTTCTTGGGGATCCTTTACCTTAATCTGTTGTGTGTGGATGAGAGTGTGGGTATGTGGTGTCCCAGGTGTCTTTTAGTCTGGTCTGGTTTTGTTTTGGTTTGTGTGTGTGTAAGTAATAAAATTTTAAGTGGTGACCCAGGTGTCTTTTAATCAAAATCTCTCTGCAGCTCACGTATTTCTTAGGAATACTTTACTTTGAATTCTGGTCTGTCTCTGCTTGATTTGTTTATGTGTGAGAAAGAGTGTGTGTGTGCGTGGCATTGGTGCAACAGTTTTGAGTGGATGTAAGTGTGACTGGAAATTTGGTAACCAAGGTTCTGTACGAGAATGGAGCCCCCTTGGCTGCATTCTGAAAATGTGGGCTCATTTTGACCTTGAGCCTATAAAGAAAAAACTAGTATTTTCTTTAACACTGTCTGACCACAGTATTGGTGAGTCTGGGGATGGATGGTCAGAAAGTAGAAGTCTAAACTATGATATTATCCAGTTAAATATCAAAACTACGAAGAACTGTTTCATCTAGAGTTATTCTTCACTTTGTTTCAAAACAAGCATTTACAGAAAACAGTTTGGGGTGATAATTGTGTGATCTAATGGGAAAGCGGATTTTAAGGGTGT